GGGGCTCGATCCCAGGACCCTGGGATCATGACCTGAGCCGAAGGCAGACGCTTAACGATTGAGCCACCCAGGTGCCCCCCAGTGTGATGTTTCTTGTTAGAGTGAATTTCTCTTGTCCCCACAGGGGACTTGGAGGGAATCTTATTCTGCCTTTGGGATCTCTCTCTCACAGGGGAAATCCAGGACAAGAAGTGGTAGGACACAGAGAAGGAAAAAAGCAGGTTGGGAACTCCCCCCATCCAGAGTCCTGCAGGCATTTCCTTGGTGACCGTGGTCAGGAGGCTTGCTTCTGGTCCTGGCTCTGTCCCTAACTAACCTGATCTTTGACAGGTCAAGCCACCTTTCAGGACTTGGTTTCCTCTTCTGTAACATGATCCTTACTGAGTGCCTGCTACATGCCACTGTTCTGGGCATCAGGATAGAGGCAAAAACAAAATAGACACATGCAAATCCCTGCCCTCTTGGAGCCTGAAAATTCTAGAGACCCTGTATAAGAAGGAACAGAAGTCGTGTGCCAGAATCACTGCAAATAGTAGCTGATAGATTTGGTTGTACCATGGCCTAATTTGGTCTCTGTGGTCTCCATTCCCTTCTCCTGTCCCCATCATCCTTCTTGGTCTGTTTTAAAAGAACCAGTTGGGGTAGGCAGTGATGATGACATGCAGAGAGTGACTGTCCCTAGGAGAATGGCACTGACTCCCTTAACTTTGCCACCATAGGGGTCAGTCAGAAGGCAGTGTGCTTTCTCTCTAGGGAATGGAGTTTCCTTGTCATTCAGATATCTACATAATATTTCATATTCTTGATGCCAGTTGACAGTGACAGATTTTATTGTAAATGGACTTTTGAAGCACTGGCCAAGTCCAATTTGTCCCCAGTCTAGCTGTGATTCTTTATCCTGGCTGCCCATTAGAACAGCCTGGGAAGAATTGTTTGTTTAATTTCATTGCCTGGTCCCTTCTCCCAGAGATTCTGATTCAGTTGAACTAGAGTGGTGCTTTGACGTAAGAATTTTTACAGATCTTCCTAGGTGATTCTAAAGAGCAGCCAGGATTGAGAACCACAGAGATGGGTGGTTCACAGTCTGGTTGGGTTGCTCTGCTGCTACCGGAGGTAACATACCCATTCTTGGAGATGCTGTCTCTTTTTTACGCAGGCATGGCAACGACCAACGAGTGTTCCGCCTGGAGTTTGTCTCAAACCAAGAATTCACTGAAAGCGAATTCATGAAATGGAAAGAAGCGGTAAGTTTATAGATAGTACCTAGCAGTTCATGAAAACCCTGAGGAAGTTTCCAGAATCTCTCATTAATAACCTTTTGTCGTGTTTTGGTCTAGATGTTCTCTGCTGGCATGCAGCTGCCCACTCTAGATGAAATCAATAAGAAGGAGTTGTCTATTAAAGAAGCTCTTAATTATAAATTCAATGATCAGGACATTGAAGAGGTAAGAAACCTGGTGCCCCAGAGACTGGAGGTTCAGTAAGAACCAGTGTTCAAGAAGATCGTGACTTTCTTCTCTTTCCTTGTATCTTGACGATTTTACCTGTGCTACTCTTGCATAAGGGATGAGAGAGTACTGATATTACTACCTACTTAATAGTTCATCCAGATTTTCTCTGTACATTCTCATTTGAAGTCCTAGAGTACAGAAGTGTATTGAGAGTTCAGGGATCTGTATTCTGCTAGGCTTGGTCCTTCAAGAGTTTCCTTTCTCCAAAACATTTTGGTAAAATTCTTTGCTCTCTGTTCTCTTGGACAGTGGCTAGCCTTACAGTACCAGGTCCTTGGGTTGCTGCTGTTTATTGGTGCATGTTCCTTCAGACTGTGCCAGAAGAATCTCCGTGACCCCGGAAGCAGCATAGTATCCCTTGGAATGAACTCGCTCTCTCTCTCCGGGGCGTGACACTGCTGTAGGAAGAGCAGCCCCCTTTTAACTAGCTGCTTGCCTCCAAAATGGGCTCACTTAGCCTGTCTACAGAAATAGTTTAGGAATACCTCACTGCTGGTATCTCCTCTCTGGTACAGATTGTAAAAGAGAAAGAAAGGTTCAGGAAAGCTCCACCCAACTATGCTATGAAGAAGACTCAGCTGCTAAAGGAAAAGGTGAGGACTTGCACTTGAACCCCCTTCCTCGTCCTGTAAGATGCGGAAATCAGACTTGTTCATCTCCTGCTCAGTCGGTGGTGGCGGGATTGGGCTCCAGAGGAAGCAACACGGTGCTTCCTGGCACCCGGGCACCATCCCTTGGCCATTTTCCTTTCTGTAAATTGATCGTGTCCGTTCCATTCTCCTTACTTCCTAGTCCCTTTTGTTTTATGTGTAATAAGACAGAAGCCAGGGTTCTCTCAGCACTGGGTCTGAACAGATGATCCTGCCAAGCCCGGCTGAGGTGGGTGGCTTTCCATTCTTCACATCAGGATGGGGGTGAGCCTTGGTAGGGTGAGTGAGCCCCATGGGGCCTGGGTTCCAAGGTCAGTGTTACACATCCCTGCTACCAGGGGCCCAGGGCCGGATAGGATATGGCAAGGTGTTAACGACAATAATAAGAATTATACCTTGCATTTGTAAAGCTTGTTTTCAGTGTCCTGTCATATTTCCTGTCGTTTGTTCATCACGTGAGCTGTCTCGCCTGTGCTGGAAGTAAGGGGACACTTGATACAGGGCCCGTCATGGCCCAAAACTCACACTTCTATCTGTGTGCAGGCCATGGCTGAGGACCTGGGGGATCAGGACAAGGCCAAACAGATCCAAGACCAGCTGAATGAGCTGGAGGAGCGGGCAGAGGCCCTGGACCGCCAGCGGACCAAGAACATATCCGCTATCAGGTGTGTTACAGGGCCTGTTTCCGTTGGGCTCCTACTCTGGACCCACAGACCTTGTCACAGTCGTCAGGAGAGCCCGTGGCCTTGCACACGCTGCGCTGCGCTGGCTCCGTGTGGCTCCGGGGTCCGGGCTGAGGGGTTCCCTCCCTCCTTCCGCAGCGCACTGACTCCCCCTTTCACTCACCCACAGTTACATCAACCAGCGGAACCGGGAGTGGAACATTGTGGAGTCTGAGAAGGCCCTTGTGGTGAGTAAGACAACTGTATTTGGATCGCTGAAAACAGTTTTAATGAATAAATCGATACGAAATCTTCTATACATCTTGCTCCCGTTTATTTTTGTAGTTACTGGCGTAACATGTACACTTCACACACATGTGCTCTGGGTGCACACATATACCCGTAGGATTTACTGATGGATAACGAAAAGCAGCAGTCTCCTGCCCGTCTTACCTTCCCCGTCCCTTAGCTTCCGCTCCACAGGTGTTCGTCTTTATCGACTTGCGCTTTTGTTCTTTCGGTTGCTGCCCCCATATCTGCTCTGGTGTTCTTGAAGGGAAGAGGATGAGAGACCACTTTTGACTTTCTTTAGCCCTTGCCAAGACTGTTATTTATATGTAAGCTTAGGATCAACGAAAGGCGGGGAAAAGGAGGCACAGTTCTGTAATGCATGCTCTCTGTTTCAGGCTGAAAGTCACAACATGAAAAACCAACAGATGGATCCCTTTACGAGGCGGCAGTGCAAACCTACCATTGTTTCTAATGTGAGTGCTGAAAGAGGACGTTTTTAGTCAGGACCTAGATTCTAGGACATAAAATGAATTCCATTAGGACATTAATAAGGAAGTTAAAAATAATGTCTTAGTGGGATTTGCTTGCCTCGAACTCTTGGGTCTGGCTACCTCTTTTTCTTTTTCTTTTTTTTTTTAAATCTTGCTGTAGGCCATACAGGGAGTGAAAACCTGGCACGGATTTGTAGACACCTCCAGACTCACCCCTCCTGTGTCGGGGTGGGTTTACCGATGCAGCAGACATTAGGACTGTGGAGGCTGGGCCACCTAGGGCCAGGCCGGCCTGGGCTGGGCTTCAGAGCTTTAATTGCCTCTCTTTGCTGCCTTGAGGAAAACCCCACTGAGCTGCTGATGGGTCCACTGTGGTGCTTGTGATGTTAGCATGGTCGATGGGAGAGAATCTGGCGTTGCACTGTGTGAGTGTTAAATAATCTCTAAAATAACTTAATTTCTCCCTCAGTCCAGAGACCCAGCTGTTCAAGCTGCCATCTTGGCCCAGCTGAATGCAAAATACGGTTCTGGAGTGTTACCAGATGCTCCGAAGGAAATGAGCAAGGCAAGTGCGGTGCTGCCCTGTGGCCCGCAGGCTGCCGGCCCGGACACTCGGCCTGGGTTAGGCCTGACTCTTCCCACCTGGGGGAACATAGCATCCCACTTGCAGCCCTTTCTCCATCCTGATTCTTTACAAATACGATAAACAGCTACTGAATTTTGACTTTGAAAACCTAAATGCTAAACCCAACACCACTACTTAACTAAGGCCTTGATTACAGCTTTGGGCGACTGATATCTAGCCCTCTGATCGACATTTTCTCATGTGTAAAATGGGAATAATACTCTGTCCTGCTGCCTCACAAGATAATTAGAGGCTGATGACACACAACGATCAGATGGTTGTAAAGGTGAAAGCTCTTTGAGAACTAAAATGTTAACAGAGAAACTGCCCATTTAGAAGCAGTTTTTTGCATAAGTTAGGTCTTTTCCTGTGGAGGCCAAACTGTCCCAGGAATTTCTGAAATCTTGGGTCAGAAGGTAGCTTATTGTCTTAAGCCCCTCGTCCCCCACAGCACAGACATGAGCCTTCCCTTTCCTCTTTTAGGCTTCAGAGAAGAAACCTTCCTGTGGCCTCTCCTAAAGCCCCTGTGAGAGAAGGAACCAGAAAGAGCTGGTCAACTTGAGCCAAAGCTTTTTTGACCGTTAGCGGCTGCCGCCTCTTGAAGCCCACTTGCATTTATACTTTGATGCTTTTTCCCTTCACGTTGCAGGGTCAGGGAAAGGATAAAGATTTGAATTCTAAGTCAGCCAGCGACCTCTCCGAAGATTTGTTCAAAGTACATGATTTCGACGTGAAGATTGATCTGCAAGTTCCCAGCTCGGGTAGGTGAGGGTGGGGGAGCGGTGATGGCTGAGGAGCAGACGGCACCAGGGCTGACTTGGCTGGCAGGGAGGCCCAGTGTCCGGGGAAAAGTGCGGGTGTCCAATCCAACGTGGCTCTAGAGGCCAGAGTGAGCGGGGCTGCGGGCATGCTTGAGAGGGAGGCTACCGGAGGAGTGCCGCACAGGACTTTACAAAGGCCTTGGTAGGCTCCTCAGATGCCAATTTGCTCTTCTCTCCCACAGAGTCAAAGGCTTTGGCCATCACCTCCAAAGCTCCACCAGCCAAAGATGGGGCTCCAAGGAGATCGCTAAACTTGGAAGACTACAAAAAACGACGAGGGCTTATTTGAGCGCGCCCAGCCTGCTGCTTCTGACCCTGCATGCCCCATCACAGTGTCCTCTTTTCCTCTTTTCCTTTGATTTGCCCTCTTTGGGCTGGAGCAGCAGTAGAACTGGGAAGAGACTCTAAAACTGCCAGTCATCTGTAATATAAACCATTTGCTGTAAAGACCTCCCTTGTCTGCACCATCTCCCACCCACCCGCCAGGCCTCTCACCCAGTGCGGGCCTGGGCTCTCTTGGGCTTTATCCATGTCTCTAGATTTGTGTTTGCCTTTTTTTGTTGTTCCGTTTGTTTTTTGTTTTTGTTTTTAAACCAGCACAGTTCATTGGCCACTCTGCACGCATTCAGTATTAGCGTGGAGCTGGGATTCTTGCTGGAGCCCCTGGCGGCGGCGGCGGCGGCCCTCGGCAGCCTCCTCCGTGGGCTGCCTCGGACCCAACCATTGACCATTTGGCACCGGACCCTTGTGGGGGGAGTGGGGACTGGGCACCTGCAGTCCTCCTTCCTCCCTCCTCATCTTTCTCTTCTTCCCATCTCTGCAGAAGAGAGGTTTTCAAATCCAATTTAGTTTCCAAAAAGTGTACATTTGTGGGGAGGGAGGGGGGGCTATTTGGGGGAGAGAGAGAGAGAGAGAGAGTGTGTGTGTGTGTGTGTGTGTCTGTAAGTGTGTGGATTTTTTTATCATTTTTTTAAACTGCAGTACTCTTTGTATCAGTCTGTCATGGGTCTATAGCCGTTTCAGATTTTTTTCAGCTGTACTCGAGCATCTGAAACCGCAAGAAAGAAACTCATTAAATGTGATTCTTCTTACTAAACAGGCCTGACTGCTGTAGCTGTATAACCTCCCCTCCCCCACAGCCCTCCCCCC